ATTCTATTCTATTCTATTCTATTCTATTCTATTCTATTCTATTCTATATTCTATTCTCTCCTATATTCTATTCTCTCCTATATCCTATATCCTATCCCATTCCATTCTATTATTTACACACATACCCAGGTCTGTAGAAAAACCTCCCTCCATGAAACTGGTCCCTGATGCCCAAAAGGTTGGGGAGTTGCTGGCCTAGATGACCCCCCCGCCCCCCCCCCCGGAGCTGGTTCTTCCAAATCCCTCAGGAGATACTCACTGCAACTCTGAGAGGCGAATTCCCGTAGGTCCAGATCCTTAAGCGGGAAATTGACAAAAGTGGTGAGTTTGCTGGATCGCATCCTGGCTTCCGAGAAACGTTTCAGGTCTGGGTGAGGAATTAAGGAAAAAAGGGGGAAGGGCCAAACGGTTCCCACAAGTGAAGAATGTTTGTTTATTTTATTATCATCATCTTTTAATGACCCCATATGCCTTTGCGGGCTGGAGTCTGGGCAACTGAATGGAGCTAGCAGAGTGTTTTAAGGGCCGGATGCCCTTCCTGTTGCCAATGCGGAGTTTTGTTCGGCAGATATATTCTCATTGTACCCGGAGAGAGAAATATCTGCCTCTACCCAGGATCGAACTCACAGCCTTCTGATTGTAAGGTGAGACCTCCACCTCCAGGCCACTGCACCACCCCTTTATTTATTTTATATCCCACTTTGATTATTTTTACTAATAACTCCAGGCAGCAAACATATCCAACACACCTTCTTCCTTCTGTTTTCCCCACAACAACAACAACCCTGTGAGGCAGATTAGGCTAAGGAGTGAGAGGAGTGGCTCGAAGTCACCCAGCCAGCTTTCGTGGCTAAGGCAGGACTTGAACTCATGATCTCCTGCTTTGTAGCCTAGCACCTTAACTGCAAGAAATGTAAAGCAAAAAGATTAAGGCTGTAATTTGTGTGTGTGTGTGTGTGTGTGTACGTTCTACTGCACTGAAAAAAGTCTGTGAATCCTCCAACCAAAAGGACTAGGATCTTGAAAGTATAGACTGTTTCAAGCTACGTCCTCCGCAGGCTGGATTCTGGGCCCAGTAAAATTGTCTGCACCTTACGGATCCTGATAGAGCCTTGTCAAGTCTCCATGCATCCACATGTGAGATTTCCTTGCTATGGAGCCTCCCACAATGGTTGGATAAAAGATGGATGGCAAATAAATTCCATAAATAAATAGCTGAGGGCAAAATCCTCTGGAAACCAAAAAGGAAGGATACGTAAAACCAGGATCTTGGGGAAACGTTGGATGCTGAATTTCTTCATGCATTTCGTCCTCGCTTTGCAACGGCAGCATGTCTGCAGGGACAAAGGACCACCAGGGTTTAGGGGAGGAGCCACAGAGATGTGGGGAGGCTGCCTAACGCATGAACATTGTTAGGAAAGGCAGGTATGGGACAATGTAGCTCCAGCTGGGGGAAGAGAGTAGCAAGGATTGGCTAGATAGCAATAGCGTTTAGACCAGTGGTGGGATTCAAATAATTTAACAACCGGTTCTCCGCCCTAATGATTTTTTTTCCAACAACCACTTCACCAAACTGCTCTGAAAGTTAACAACCGGTTCTCGTGAACCAGTGTGAACTGGCTGAATCCCACCACTGATTTAGACTTATCTACTGCTTCCTAGTGCTTTGACAGCCCTCTCTACTAAGCAGTTTACAGAGTCGGCCTCTTGCCCCCGAACAATCTGGGTCCTCATTTTACCCACCTCGGAAGGACAGGAAGCTGAGTCAACCTTGAGCCTGGTGAGATTCGAACTGCCAAATTGCAGGCAGCCGGCAGTCAGCAGAAGTAGCCTACAGTACTTAGCACTCTAACCACTGCACCACCATGGTTCAGGGATAAGCTGAAATGGCCGGGGTAAACACAAGGGCAGTCAGCGGCAAACCAGCGGGGCCTGGCTTTGATTCCACAGGGCAGAAAACCCCTTATTTTTAGAGGAAAAAACTGACTCGGGCAGGTTAATGGAAGCATTAAAGGCAGCCCTCCCATTATGGACTCAGCTCCTCCACAAGTCGGAAATCCTACGCTTGGCATCACCACTTAGGAGTGATATAGCAGTCTTCCAATATTTGAGGAGCTGCCATAAAGATGAGGGGGTCCAACCTTTTTTTCCCAAAGTACCAAAGTTAAGACAATAAACAATGGATGGAAACTCATCAAGGAGAGAAGCAACCAACAACTAAGGGAAATTTCCTGGCTTAACCAGTGGAACAATTTGCTTTCAAAAGTTGTCAGTGCCTCATCACTGGAGGTTTTTAAGAAGGGATTGGGCGACCCTTTATCCAGAATGGTGTAGAGTCTCTTGCTTGTGCAGGGGGTTGGTCTAGAAGACCTCCAAGGCCCCTTCCAACTCTGTTGTTCTGTTCAGTTCTGTTATGCTTCACACGAGCCAGAGGCTGACACAACAACCAGGTGAAGCAACAGTTAAAAGAAGAATAGACACGCCTGACACGTCCCAAACCATTAATCTAGAGCCTTAGGTCTAGCCTTTGCAGCAAGCTTTTCCCAATCTAAAGAAATCACCTCCAAAGTTGGACTTGAAGATCTCCAACTCTATAATTCTTAAAATCACCAGCAACTTCATTTTGTGCAAAACTCCAAACTAGAAATTTGTGTAAAAAAATCCACCTGGTGGTTGATTTTGACATCTAGGGCTTAAAAACATTTGGAATAAGAGACATGAACTGCGTGCAGAAACCTGACTGGTGAGGTTTTTTTGCACCTCCTTAGTCTTCTGGACTTACAGGTTTCTCATCACCGTCTAGAACATCTTCCTTGGTGAAGAGTCGCATGCAGTCAATCAAATTCACCTCGCCGTAGCTTTTCTGCAGAAAGAGAAGAGAAAGAGAGAGAGAGAGAGAGAGAGTGAGTGACCAAGGGTCCAAGACGTTAGGTCAACCAATGCAAGAAGAGGCAGATCTGGGAAGCTGCAGATCTGGGGTCAGTGGGAAGCCAGTGGGAGCCCCAGGGCATAGAAGGTTACCTTGGCAATGGGCAGAGACAGGTCCCAGAACGGATCAAAAGCAGTGGAACAGTAGCCGCAAGAACTGCAGGTCAAGGAGCTCTTCAGTTGCCCAACGAAGAGATCTACAGAAAGAGAAGGTGGAGAATATGAAGGTGGCGATCAAACTGGATCACCATGTATGTAGAAGATGGACTTTCTCCTGCCTGAAAGCTTGAAGGGATGTCTCACGTCATCCAAGAATGAGAACAGAGGATCTGATCTCATGGCTGGGTTACCTCAATAGTCTTAGTCACAAACCAGCCAACTTGCTTGTGACCTCATTTGTTGTGCAAGCTCCGGCTAATGTTATTCACTGATGCTTCTCTGCGTAGGAGTTACCCATGATCTAGTTACATGGATAGGTGTGCTACCCAGCGGCGACCGTAGAAGGGCATTTTTTAAATGTAAGTTTTAGAAAGAAGCTTCAAAGTCTTGACTGAGGTTGGATCTCAACTCCAGACTTTTCAAGGCTTTCCCTGTGTCTAGAGCTGAGCGTGGTGGAAATCGGTTTTACGCTTTTCCAAAATCCAACGGAGGAATTTCAGAGATCATGAAACGCTCCTTGATCTTTGTGGCTGATGATTTCCAACCCGGTGGGGTTTCCAGTTCAGTTGTGGGGAAGCAAACATGTGAATTGCAGCCACAAATTCAACACAGCTTCTTGTGTGGCCTTAAATTACTAGGTAAACTAGCACAGAATGAACCAAGTTTGGCCATCCAAAAGATCAAAATAGTTTCTGAAAAGTTTGTCAAATGGGGGTCCAGCATTAAGTGGATTCATACAGTAAAAAGAGAAAAAATGTAGGATGAACATTAATGGATTTGATAACCAGGTTAATTACTGGAGGGGGGGGGGAATCCACACTTTTGTAACAGAAAAGTTCCTTTGAAATATCCAAGGAAGTTTTAACAAAATGACAATGAAAAAGTCCTGTTAACAATGTTAACAGTCAGAGTTCTATAAATATCAACAATTCAGTGAACAAATTCAATGAACAGTTGCTCTTCCTGGCTTTGATCCGAGAACATCAAGATCAGACCTGACAGGGTACAAATTTTAAAAGGAAATGAAACCAAAAGAAAGCGGCAACCTTGAACAAAAAGGGAACAATTCTTTAAACCAGTTTTTAAAGAGGCAGCTATGTTGATTAGGCTCAGCGCCACCGGGGTGTTTCTGAAGATTTCACCAACTTTGAAATCCACAATCAGGCAAAGCAAATAGAGACTGTTGACTACCATGGCAATGTAAGCCAACTCTTCTCAACCATGGCCACTTTAAGGCATGTGGAATTTACCAGAAAAATACAACAAAGGGAATCACACATTTAATTTTACATGTGTTAACAGCAGCAAGACTTGTTTTTGCACAACAGTGAAAAAATAAAGGTATCCCAATAGATGAAAACTGTAATAAAAAACATTAGAACGTAAAGAGCTGGATAGATTAACACTCAAACTAAAGGAGAAGGAAGAAACAATAATTTTAATACAGGATTTGTTTTATCAATGGTTAGATAATAGAAACAGAAGTTAGAAACTCAAAAGTTTAAGAGAATGATCAAGTAAATAATGAAGTATGGATAAACAAATATCAGTATCATTATGTGATTATTATTAATGAATATTAGTGTTACTATTGCTATTATTTTTAAAAAAATAATTGAGCCCAGACAACACACTGTTCACGTAGATATTGTGTTTTTATGTATTTTAAAGAAAAATGTATAAATAAATATATATCTATATATAAAGACATGTGGACTTTGATTTGCAGAATTGCCCTGGCAGCCCATGCTGGTCTTAAAAATGGCCAAGGCTGATCTAAGGGTAGGTGACACTCCTGATAATTTTGCAAACCATCTCTAATGCATTTTGTCTTAAAGATGTCACCAAGCTGTCCTTCTTCCTATCTGACCACCAACTGAGATGACAGAATATTCCCAGAATGGATGAAGAGGAGGCAGTGAAACTGATAGGGAGACCCTATAGCTAGAAATGGGTTTTGTCTCTTGTTTCACTTACATTGCTCCAGGCTTGTTCTCCAAAGTTCAAATGGGTAAGAAAAAGGTAAAAGTTCTCCTCACCCATACATACTAATCGTTTCTGGCTCTAATGGGGCAGTTCTCATCTCCGTTACAAAGCCGAAGAGCCAGCACTGTCTGAAGACGTCTCCGTGGTCATGTGTCCGGCATGACTAAATGCCTTCGAGGGGGCATGGAATGTTTTTCCCTTCCCACCAAAGGGGTCCCTATTTTTCTACTTGCATTTTTTTTACATGCTTTCGAACTGCTAGGTTGGCAGAAGCTGGGACAAATAACGGGAGCTCGCTCCATTAGGCGGCGCTAGGGATTCGAACGGCCGACCTTTCTGATCGACAAGCTCAGCGTCTAAGCCACTGAGCCACCGCCTCCCTGAATCAAATAGGTATCTCGGTCCAAAAAGTTAGCCAAACCATTGGTACAACTTAAATCAGGTTTTTTTTTTTTTTCTGGCAACTTTAAGGAGTCAAGAATTTAAGAATTGCAGAGAATTCTGGAAGGAGAAGTCCATTCCTCTTAAAGCATGTTGAGTAGGGAATTCCTGGAACCAAAGTCCACCCAACTTAAAGTCGTCAAGGTTGAAACCCCCTGCAACATCACGTCCACCGACCCCCAAACTCTTTCTCGACCGCCCCACCAGATACTCACCCCCAATCCGACTGTCTTCTCTTGAGAGGTATTTCATCCACATCTGCCTCCCTTTCTCGTCATCCCTGCAAGAGAAACACAAGAGAGAAGGTGGTTTTCCCAGCAGGGATCAGCAGCCCTGGAATCAGATCCCAGACGTGTTTTTTCAAGAGGCAACTGGACTTTCTACAGGAACCATTTGCCCTCGAATTCGAGATGCAGACAACGCAGTTCCTCCCCCCAACAACCCGACGGGGAAGGGACAGAGGGCAGAAAAACTTTCTGGAGAAAGCACAGCTCCAACTTCTCAAAGAAAGAATAAGAGCCGAAGAAGCTTCTTGGGTGAGAAGCGAAACATCTTCAGAGAAAATCCAGAAAGTCCAGTTGCCTCTTGAAAAAAGCACCTTTGGGACAACCATGAGCTGGAGGACGGACAATCTCTACGGACTTTTAGCTGTACAATTTGGGATGAACCCCCCTTGGAATGGTGTGGGAATAGGAATGGATTTCCAAGTGGTAAAAATTGCAGACTTCAGGAACCGGGAGCACCACGCAGGTGACCCCGAGGAGACCGATAAACCTCCAAGTGGCCTCAAGGACCCTCTCAAAGGATAGGTTGACTCTGTAAAGCACTTGGAGAGGATGGCATTGTGAAGCGGTATATAAGTCTAAGGAGTATTGCTATTATGGTTGAATCCCAACTGGCTCTCCATCTAAGTGGATCACTAAGTGATCTTTCTTTGGGGACCCGCTCCCATAGAATGGACCTTCTTAAAGAAAAACTTGTTCAGTCCAGACCAGACCGAGGGCGTCGGCGTCCGGTGGTCCCCTCCCCGCCCAAACCCCTATCCTAGAGCTTTGATTCTGCTGGGACTCACGGTAGATGGTCCAGGTTGTCATTGTTGCCTTTGGGACGGACCAACACCCGGTTCACTTCGCTGTGGAGCCCATCGAGAAGGAAGCGCAGGAATTCCTGGGCATCTTGCTGGCTGCGAGAGAGGAAGGACAGGTGTCAATCTAAACCCGGCAGGAGGGTGGTACCAGTCAGGCCCCACCAAAGGAGGCTGGGAGGAGAGGAAACCAACCCACTTCCCCTCCTCCTATCCTTCTGCAGATATTCAAGGGAGTTGATTTATTTATTTGTATGCGTTCAATTTATAGGCCAACGTGATTCCGGGTGGTTAGGACGGATGATTGGCAAAAGGAGAGGAGGGAAAAGGAGAGGACGGAGAAGGAAGGGAAGGGAAAGGGGAAGGGTTAGAGAGGAGAGGGAAGGCGAGGGAGGGGAGGGGAGGGAGAGGAAAAGGGGAAGAAGAAGAAGAGAGGAGAGGAAAAGTGGAAAGGGAAAAAGAGGGGAGGGGAGGGGAGAAAGGAAAAGGGGAAGGGGAAAAAGAGGAGAGGGGGAAGAGATTCAAAGAAGGAGAAGAGAGGAGAGGACCAAACTAACTCTCTCTCTTCATCAGATTTGAAAAGACAGGACACAGTAAGGCAGAGGTGGCCATCTTTGAATTTGATAGAAATCGCGGACTTTAGCATCCTCCCTTCTCTACCGGCATGCCGAATGCCAAGGAATGGGAGTTGTAGTCCACAAGAGATCTACAGGACAACAGGCTGCTATGAAGGAATCCAGAGCTAGCCAAGGCTAAAAGCGCTAGCTCAGGTTGAAGAAGGAGAAGCAGCGAGGGAAGAACGGCCACTTGCGACAAGTAGAACATCCTAGATCTCCCTCTTACTTGTATCCCACAAAGCGGGGAGCATATCGTTGGATCTGCATCTTGAATTCGGAAGGGCTCACGGATTCATTCGGAGACGAGGTCCACAACGCCTGGATGAGCTTGGCGAACTCTGGAGAGAGGGGAGGGAGGAAGGCGTTCGTGAACACACAAGCACAGAAGAACCCAAGGTGGCCCACCAAGAACTAGACCTTGTTCCGTCCCTTCTAGACCCAGCGTGAGCCCCTGTGGGGAGACACGAGCTCTGGCTTCCTTCCTAGCTATGATCCATGTTACAGGAGACCTGTGGGGCCCTAAGGGCCAGCGTCTGTGATGCTAACAACTACCAAATAGAGCAGGGAACTGAGGAAGAAAAAGGAAGAATTCAAGGGATTGAGCTTTGATGGTTTTCTTGCAGGTGTTTCATGACCCAAACTAGGTAACATCATCCATGCTAGAAGAAGCCTGGATGAGAGCAACCCTTCTGCTACTGATGATGTTGCCTAGTTGGGTCATGAAACATCTGCAAGAAAACCACCAAGCTCAAGAGAGCACCAAGGACCCCTGAGCTATAAATATTCTTCCTTTTATTGATTCAGAGGATCCTCCTCCTCCTCCTCTCCACAAACCACACTCCCTGCTAACACTGATGATGTTCCCTAGTTGGGTCCTGAAATGTTTGCAAGGAAACTAACCAGCTCAGAGAGCACCAAGGAGCCCTCATTTCAACTCTGAGCTACAAATATTCTCCTTTATTGATTCAAGGGATCTTCCTCCTCCTCTACTCCTCCAATCCCACTTCCTTTTAACACTGATGATGTCACTAGTTGGGTCATGAAACATCTTGAAGAAAACAACCAGGCTCACAGAGCACCAAGGACCCCCCAGTTGTCCTCCTCCTCCTCCTCCTCCTTCTTTCTCCTCCTCTTCTTCCTCTTCCTCCTCCTCTTTCTCCTTCCTCCTCCTCCTCCTCTTCTTCCTCCTCTTCTTTCTTCCTCCTCCTCCTTTCCTCTGAAAGTCACCTGCTTCAACGTTCTCCCCCTCCTTCCTAGCCCCCTCCCATTAAAGGGTTTTGGGAGAGGAAGGCCCAATATCTGCTTGCAAACTGTTTCCCCGTTGTGCCCGAGCGAAATCTCGCCGCCTTCACCTGTCATAAGAGACATCTGCATGCGACTGTTGTTGTTGAGATCGCGGACGTATTGGCTCTGCAGGCAGTAATCTCGCAGCTCTTTGGTGTTGCTCAGGCACTGCAGGATGGAGTTCATAAAACACTGCAAGAGGCAGGAAAGAGAGAGACAGTGAAGGGCAGGACACCAGGACACGAGCTATTCCACCCCATCCTTTCTCCAGGTGACCACTTGTCCAGGTGTCTCCTCTGAGCTAGAATGTTTTCACCCTTCTTGGGTGAACTTGGCTCCAGGAACCGTTTTTCAGAAAAAGAATTAGGCCTTCCAGCTAAGCAGGGTCAACTATCCGGAGAGCAGCAGATTTGGAAAAATGATCTGCTCCGCAAGGTGTGTTTTTTTAAACACCGGGCAAACTAAAGGAGTCCCTGACTATACGTCTTCTTTTAAAGACCCCATATATCAGAGTGTTTTCATGGCCAGTTGCCCTTCCTATCGCCAATGCGGAGTTTTGTTCAGCAGAGATAGTCTCACCGTGCCCAGAGAGAGAAATATCTGCCCTAGGATTGAACTCACAGCCTCCGGATTGTGAGGCGAGAGCTCCACCCCTAGGCCACCGTACCACTCCACAGGGGTCACTGACTATGACCTTCACTAAACTCTGTGCCAGGTGGGAATACCCCTTTGATTTCCTCCTCAGTGTCATTTCCTTGTTGGAGTCTGATTCTGAGGGGGAGATTGAGCAGCTGAGAGGGAGTGGGAGTGGGGCTCCGGTGGCTGTGGAAGAAATGGGGGAAGGGCACAGTCCGGCTGGGCATTCAGAGGAAGACCCAGGGCCACCCCCTCTTCATCCTAGGGCATGCAGGGAGGAGAGGATAAGGGAGCAACATGGCTTACGGGAGAGAAAAAGGCCCTGATCCCTTTAATTAGTTGCAACTGGGAGAACAGGATATAAGTGGAGCGTCTGCACACAGCGCCTTGCTGGAAGCAAAGCGTGCATTTTCTTGGTCGAGGCCTACCTGGGTTTTTGGCATCCTCCCAACTGCGAGTGCTGCGTTATCCTTTGAAAGTCTGCAATTTATCATCCTGGCCTGCTGTGTTAATTACTTCAGTGTGGTTTGTGTTGGGTTTTTTTTTTATTTCTAATTATCTTTACTTTGGGTTTGGACTGCATTTCTTCCCTTCATAGACTGTATTTTTTGAAGAATTTGATCTCCAGCCGAGGATAAAGGACACTGGGGGGCCAAGTTGGAGGCATGAAAGGGAATTTATTCTACTTTTGTGACTTTGTTATTTTTATTTTTATTTTTTTGAATAAATTTTATTGAATTTACAATTAAAAACGTATCAACATTACATATACAACAGGGGGAGAAAAAGAAAAAAGAAAAAAAGGGAAAAAAAAACGCTCGGTCTTGCGAACCGAAAAAGGAGAAAAAGAGGTATAAAAGAAAGAAGAAAACAAAGAAACGGAAGAAAAAAGAAAATACATTTAAAAACAGACAGATATCCTTTTTGACAGTCTGCAAGATCCAATTCTCCTACCTTACTTTAAATATCCACATCTTATCACTATCTATGCTTAAATTACCCATTGTTCATTGAACAGTTTATCTCTGAGATAACCAATTATACCACGCATTCCAATTATCATAAAATGCTGAAGACTCTTTATTTTTAAGGACTTTGTTATTTTTGTGTCACACTCGAGAAAGCAGATATTGGAACATAGAATCATAGCCTTGGAAGGGACCTTGGAGGTCTTCTAGTCCAACCCCTGCTCAAGGAGAGGGACCCTCGTATCATTCTGGACAAACGGCTATCCAGTCTCTTCTTGAAAATCTCCAGGAATTGGAGCCACCTCCGGAGACAAAAGCTCTTCCACTGCTTCATTGTGGAACGAACAGGATTTCCCCTTAATTTGATACATTAAATCATCTCCTTGATAAAGTTTCACCCATTACTGGTTATCCGTGCCCTCATCTAAATTTCATTTTTTTTAAAAAAAGAAGCTTTAAAAATATAAAAGCGCCACGAGAGCTGTTGCTATGGTGAAAAAACAATTAAGAAACCCAAAGGCTTTTTGGGGGGGTTGTGTTATACGCCCCCCCCCACTCAACCCACAGTGTTCCACTGCGTCTGTGACTGACTCATGCATGCTACGACGCACATGGGCAGCGCACAATCACACGCGGACACTGGTTTGTCACGCCTGGGCCGAGATGCCCACCAGGGGCTGGAGATGAATGGCGTTTTATCCGCCAGCTCCCTAAAGCGATGCTTTTTAAGAGGCATAATTAAGGGGCATCAACTGAGTTTGCGGAGCCCCCAAGCCTTCCCTGCTAGTGTCTTCTTTCTTCATGCAACCCACATCCCTTCCTTTGGGGAACCAGGTGGAGTAGGCAACGACTACTAGTATTACTGCTACCAGCTCTCCTCCTCCTTCTCCTCCTCCATCATCAATCGTTGCGTGGGGAGAGGATTATTTGTGGAGGAGGGTAGCAAGAGGGAAGTGAGAGGCTAGTTCCTTTCTCTCTTGTTGTGGTTGGGAGGAGGTCCCGGCAGAAGTTTCCCTCCAAAAGAAGCTCCCTCCCCTGGGCACCAAAGGGGAACCCACCTACGCAGCCGATGCTAACTCTGGAAATGTGTGCGTGTGTGTGTGTGTGTGTGAGAGAGAGTTTGTGTGCGTGGGAGGGTGAACTTCAGTGCTCAATTCCCCCACCAGGTCTGATGCCCATCTAGTGTTTTAGAAGATGCCTTCGCTCTCACTCCCAAGGAGCTTCCGGCGGTCAGGAGAGACACGTAAGGTTGGGTGAAGAGTGAGGGGAAGCGAGATTAGCCATGCCAGGAAGGAAATATTTCCTTTCCTTCTTTTTCTTTTCCTTAGCTCCGTCTGTCTCTCCTTCTTCCCTTTCTCCACTCCTTTTCCTTTCCTCCCTCTTTCCTTCCTTTCCCTTCCCCCCTCTCTTATTTTCCTTTCCTTCTTTCCTTTCCTCCCTCTTTTCTTCCTTTCCTCTC